GTTATTAAAAACCTTCAACGTAAGTGTTAGTTCGTAATAAGCAATTTAAACATTAACTTTAAGTCAGGTGTAGCAAAAGGTTAAGGTTTATAAAATTAAATTATAAGCAACAGGTTTTTAAGCGGCAGAGATGATCTTAAGCCATTAAAAAAAAGATTTGTTACCTAATTTAAATCCATTCCATGGTGCACACCTAATATATTAATAAAACTTTAATATATTCTGTAAATCTTTTAGTAGAAAATCTTACTTAAATACCCAAACTGATATTTAATTTTACGAAACTTATTTACATATATTATACATTTATTTATTGCACTACCCTGTCTGTGCTAGTAAAAAGAACAAGAAAGGAAAGCTAACTTCGGGCGGAGCCGAAGTTGATATACCCTTGCAGAATACTCTGTAAATTATATTCTTCAAATTTATTCATATGATGCATTCTTAATACTCATAAAAAATCCCAACTTCCTAACTTTAAAAATACCAAAGTTATGGCATTTCCGATCGGCATTGCCAAAAATAAAACCTATAGAAAATCCCAACTTCCTAACTTAACAAACACCAAAGTTATGGCATTTCCGATCGTTCAGTTATATGGTAGCTATAGGATATAGTCGTCCGATCCTTATGAAATTCGGTAAGTCGGATTCATTGGCCAAAAATAAAACCCATAGAAAATCTTAACTTCCTAACTTAACAAACACCAAAGTTATGGCATTTCCGATCGTTCAGTTATATGGCAGCTATATGATATAGTGGCCCGATCCGGCTCGTTCCGACTTATATACTACCTGCAATAGAAAGACAACTTTTGGGAAAGTTTCAAGCAGATAGCTTTAAAACTGAGGGACTAGTTTGCGTAGAAACGGACGGACGGACGGACAGACGGACGGACAGACGGACAGACGGACAGACGGACATGGCTAGATCGACTCTCCTGGTGATGCTGATCAAGAATATATATACTTTATAGGGTCGGAAATGTCTCCTTCACTGCGTTGCAAACTTTTGACTGAAATTATAATACTCTCTGCAAGGGAATAATAACAAACATTTTCCACATGAATTGCACACAATTCACACATTTGCTTGGCAATAATATTTTTGTCAATTTTTTACAGCTTTTCCCTAATTTGGATTGATGTAAAGTATTAAAAAATCAAGTATTGATGGTCCATAAAAAAATATGAAAACGCATATACAAATTTCTATATGAATGGGCTTACAGTCGAAGTGTTACAAAAGCTGCAAACTACCCATATACAAGCTCATTGGATGCCGTCGATTGGCTTAAAGGCTTTCGCGTTCATTGGCAGGTCATAAAACCCTTGGCAACAACAAGGGCAACACTGTGTCAATAAAAGTGTCAATCAAATCAATGGGACAGGCTAGCAATTTTTCATGCTCCAAACACATATACTATTCAGAGAAAGAAAATTCCAAAACGACATATTTCACAAAATAAAATTTTCTTTAAAAAAATTGCTTAGAAAGAAAAGTATGCTTTTAAATGGAGAACCATACGTTTATATTTTTAAAGCTTTCAAGAAAATATAAAAGCAGAGAAACACAATATTTGAAGATTATTTTTGCTGATAGACTTATTATTAATGTTTAATTTCTGTCTAATTTTATCCAAAACTTTTACATTTTTACTAGTTTCTTATAGATAAGTTATAACAATATAAATATAAGTTAAATATAAGTTATAGTAACACCAGGATGCTAAAATAAAATAAACCTAAAACTAAATCTAAATTTGTTTTTTTAATTCAATATATTTTCATTTGAAATTTATGGAATTGAGGGTTGTTTTTGTAATTAATGTAATATAATAATGTATATTTTCTCAGTGTAGAACCCCAAAACTCACACATTCATCGGCGCCGGCTGTTGCATACTTTTTGGGATTTTTTTTTAAAAGGGAGAAGCTGTCACAACAAAAGGACATAAAAACACTGTGGCAACGCTTTTCCCCTTTTTTTCCCCACTTCATGTTGACTTGACTAATTTTTTGTGATCAAAGTTTGGTTTATTTCGATTCGGTTTTTGTTTTTTATCCGAGGTCATCAGCTGCCTGTTGGCCTGGCCAAAACGTTGATTTGATTCTCGCCGCCCGTTCAGTGCACATCGGCGATATTAAACGCTCTGATTATGACAGCCCGACTTGGCCAAAAAGGCCATAAACCAGACCCTGGCAGCTGCCAAATGAAGCTGAAAAAGTGCAACTGCCAGATGTCCCTTTCGGATTTTCGTATGCAAAAGAAAAATCTGAAGCGGAATGCGTTCATTTATCAAACTTTGACTGGAGCCATACCGAGCGAAAACACAAAATAAATCGCTTTGTCGTTTTGGCCAAAAGTTATAAATGACACAAATTTTGAGGGCAAAGTCAAAAAGCTTTGTCTTCTCTAAGCAGAACAATGAAACGGGTTAGAGAAAGGATATACAAAGAAAAATGTACACAAAAGCAATGAGCAATGATCGAAGGATATTAAACAAGTTAGGGGTCTCCCAAAGGGGAACCCCAACCAAAAAAACAGGTGTTAACCGCAGACCATATAAATTTGTCTCCCGCTCAATGAAAACGGCGGATTAAGCAGCAATTTGTAAATCCAATACTCAACCCCGAAAATTTATTGCCAAACGTGCCACACATAAAACTCAGCCAGGCGAGACAGTTTTCCTTCATTCCATTTTATTTTTCCCACTGTTTTGGTGCATTTGCGGAAAATTGTTTTACATTACGGCCAGCAGCAAATTGAATAATGCGTCGGGGATTTTCTGGTGGGCCAATACAAACAACCCATAAATTCTTAGGGGCCATATGCAGACATGGTTGGATCTTAAGTGGCTCTCTACAAGGGGGCGGTGTTTTTCCAGCTGCCACAGACACTTCCTTTGGACAACAAGTGCAGCTTTGAACAAGGAAAACATATGGCAATCAGGCGGAAATGGAAGGGACTTCGCTCTTTGGCAGCTGGCAAGGCTTATTTTCAAATAGTGATGGGAACGGCATCACTTTCAAAAGAATATATAAGAATATATCTAGCTGACAATTTCATTTATACCCCTGAATTTTTTTAACAATTTAGTTTGGGTATTTTGGTATACACACCATCACTAATGACAAGTATTTGCGTTCCGAGCATATTGAAAAATCCCCGCTGTTTGCGGGTGTAAGCTACTCTTCAAAAATTTTCCTGGTAATTTGGAAAGTCAGTGGGTGAGCAAACACGGACTTCAAAGAAGTCGCTGTTCTGGACTGCCCAAAAATAAGCTGCTTTGCATTAAGTTTGGCCTGTGCCCACTTGATTTCATTTGTCATGCCGGGCCATAAATAACTAAAGGCTAAGACGAGGCGCCAAACGTTAATCACAGCAAGTGGAGGAAATCAACAACAGACAGAGGGAGGAAAATCGGGGGAAAAATCCAGGGGAAAAACCAGGCGACACCCAACCAACACCACTGACCAAAGTCAACGTCTGACACCAGCATTAATTGCGCATTAATGTTTATTGCTTAACGGATGTGGAAGTGGCGCCATTTTGCCATTTGTCTGTTTTGTTTCTTCTCCCCCGCACTCCCTCCCCCCGTCCACCATTAAAAGGAAACTGAAACTGAAATAGAAAAACCGCCGGAATACAGTTTTGATACCCTTCGAGGACAGTCCTTGCTTAAAGCGTGATTTAACTTAATGCTCATTCAGTGGAACTATTGGCTCATGCCCTCGGAAAGAAAATAATTGGATTGGCAGATTGTGTGACAGCATTTAATTGGAGGCTCCCGAGGGGCAGGATATTATAGATTTTATTGGTTTATTTGGGGCCACAATCTTGCAGGCTTAAGCTAAAGAAAAGCTAAAGAGCTTTGCTCTTGACATAAAGTCTTTAAAGTACTCGAAATGGTTAAAAAAGGTTATAAACATATTTTTTTTAATATGTAATTATAATAAGTGATATCTATTCACACTGAGGAATTAGACATCTTATCATATATATTGCAGTCAGCAAGAATGTAATTAAAACCTATCTATTTATCAATAAAGCATTACTAATTTATTTAGTTTCTGGTGTAGATATCAATCAATATTTTTCAAATTAATTCATCACTTCTTATATTTATCTAGTTCTTAAATAAGATTAATAAAAACATATTTTCCAGATCTAAAGTGTTTAAACTTTTTCTCCATTCATTAAATGTAATTAAATCAAAAGCATATTAAAGTCTCGACTTGTGCTTTCCCGGAATAGCTTTCATTATGTTCTGGCATTCAATTCCTCGTTTTGTTTCATTAATTTCCCCGCTGACCCTCTGCTCCTCCATTCTTTTTTCATCTACCACTTGGTCTTTCTGTCTCTGGGAAATTTGTTTTGTATTTCCGGCTGCACTGAGCTCCAAATACTTCCGGCGACTTGCGCGCCATTCGAGGCTTAAATTTATGGAGCTAGTTTGCGAGCTGTTTCCGCCGCATTTGCCACATGGCTGCCACTGCCTGTGAAGTTGGCTTAAAGCCGCACTAAAATTCACTGGGTGGGTGGATAGGGCTTTGGTTGTGAGTGCCAAGGGAGAAGGTATTTAAGGCGACACTTTGATTGATTATCCCTAGGCAAACTCACGCCTTTTCAATCCTGATGCGGTGGCTTTGACGCGGCTTGAAATCAGCCGATCCCTAATGAGATGCATGTGATGGCGTCCATGTGGCACCAGCAATCAGTTCTGATTGCTTGGTGAATGCTCATAATTACAGAAATTACCTATCTGTAAAAGGGAACATACAAATTTATTTCATTAATATTTTTTCATGAAAGTCAATGTGTAGTTTTTATTTAGACAGAGTAAATAAAACTTTGGTACCTTTTAATTACAACTAATTAATACAAAAATATATGTTTTTTGTTCTTGTAACGGGTATTAAATTGAAAGCTCTCATTTTGGTCTATAAAATAACCAAGTTGGCACCTCAACTGACACATGCCTGAATTGTTTGTGCCCACGCTGTTCAAACAGCAGGCTGTGGCTCCGCTCTGATATCAACAAATATTTTCGGCACACAACTACTTAAAATTCCGGCAAACTTTTAAAATGGCTGCAAATCAGGTGAGTGGTTATCGGGTGAATTCTCTAATTACCTTTCACCCCTCAATTGAATCCCCGCAGGACTCGTCGGTGTCCTCGCGCATCACTCTATTCAACCAGCAGGCCGAAGACCACCAGAACTGGATGATGATTAACCCATTCGCCCACTACAATGTGAGTGAGATGCCCAAGAGGAGTTTTCCGCTGGAGGAATACGGCCGGGCTCCGGCGGGAAGTCTCTCCGAGCAGCGATCCCTGGAGGCCAATGTGCGGGTCTTGGAGGAGATCCTGCAGCTGTGCGGTATGCTTGAGAAATCCGGACACGATGATCCCGAGAATGGTCTTAAGATACTAGCTTTCGGTCCCCTTTTTAATCTGTATAACGACATATCCGACAAACTGCTGGCCACTTTGTTGTGCGCCAGGAGGCATGGATTCGTAGACTTTAGCGGGGAAACCCTTTTCCAAGGACGCGATGATTCAGTTCCCGTGCGCCTGCTCCGCCCCTTCGAGGAACTCCAAGCCGAAATCCTGTCCAAGGTCGCGGATCTGCGGTGCGTTTTCACCGAAAAACCCGAGGAACCGGCTGTTCTGCGCCAGGATTAGCTTATCTTTTCTGCCTAAAAATTGAAAAAAAAACTGTCACCTGACCCGTGTCAAAAGCCGCACATGTGCACCTCCAAGCCCTTTCGCAGTTAATTGAATTAGATTCTGCCTGGCCAAACGGCTTTTAGCCAACACGGCGAACAACCAAGCCGAATAACCACCAATCCCGTCACGTATACGGCAGGAGGGCCCACACCACTTGTGCGATTGTATCACCTCCAGGAAATAAACAAATTATAGCAGACTTAGTTGATTTCATGTGCCAGGCCAGCGACTTCAAAGCCCCGCACTCGCTCAGCTGACAAATTATGTTGAATTATTTGGGTAGATGCTAAAACCCGTAAGTCATTTGGTTTCTTGGCGGTTTACTTGGTGGTTGATGAAAGCGGTGACAATGTGCGAATGTATTCTCCAAATGGGGGATTTATATTAAATTTAAATTATTATCTTGAATATTTTTCGAATATTTTGTATAGCCTCCCTCTTTATACTTTAAATTTAGATTAACCTCTTTTGCCATCTGAATTTGTTAATTTATCTTTTTTAGGCGCTAATTTTTACTTTTGGTAATTAACAGCTAATTTTCCTTAACAAAGTTTTTTAGGTACGTGATTTTACTTTAATACAATTTTAAAAGCCTTTAAGAAGACTATTTCTTAGAATCAATAGCTTAAAAATATTCAAATATTCATACAATATAAAGTTTGACCATGTTTATTTATTTATAAAGTTCTTCAAAATAAAAAGTTTAGTGTCCTCGAAATTGTGCGCTGCCCTTAAAGCCTCTTGATGGTATTTGCATGTTTCCCCTCCCTGAAATTTATTATAATTTTCGATTGACATGGCATTTCCGCCCACTGTTGGTAGGTCTAAAATTCCGGAGGAGCGTGGGTGGTCGTGTAATGTACCGCTGATTTGATTTAACGACGAACTGAACACGCCCCCAACCTCGCTCATTGATTCCTCACCTCAATCCTGGCCAGAAAACCCCCAGTTTCGTGCTTTAAAGCCCCAATAAATTCGCACAGGGGCGGCAAATGATTGAATAATGAAGAGCGAATGGCTGAGTTTTCGGCATTTGTGACACATAATTATGATGGAGCGCCTGAATGCGGGTGGAATAGAATGAAATGATCTAAAATAAACATGTTTCCATGTTTTGAGAGTGAGAGGAAAAGGAGGAAAAATCAAGCGGGGGTTAAATGGAATTTGTTATGCAAATGCCATGACTCGGCTCGTTGCGCACAACATCCGTTTGCCATTTTTCCCACTGCCAACTCGTGGCGGAAGGCCAAATTCGGAGCCAGAAAAAGGCCACAAGAAACCTCCCACTGGGTGACACAGAAAATTTCTCTATGTAGGTGCTGATTGTTCGGCTCGAAAATGGCTTTGGTCTTGTTGGTGAACTACATTTTCTGCCCTTTCGATGTGAGGCCACATACGCCAAAATGTCCCAGACAAAGGTAAATAAAACACAGCACAAACAGACCAACAAAAATATTGTGGTCAGAGGTTAACTTCGGTTTGAACCCAAAACAACGCCACTTTAACTTTATTTATGTGCATATTTTTTGGGATTACTATAGCTTTATGAATTATTGATTTTATATTCGTATTGGCTACACTTGAAATATGGTTTTTGTATCTTTTGCTTAGTATCTCTTGCTAACATATGATTTCTGTAATGCTTAGAACAGTTTTCTTATTTAAATTGCAATATTTACACAGCTTAAAAAATTACTTTATTTTCATTAAGGCAAGAAAATTGTTTTGAACATTTTTAAGCCACTCTCAATTACTTCAATTTTACAACCAAATCACAAAATAAACTTTCAGCACAACCATTCCTGACGCAGCTTCTTAAACTAAACATCATAGTAATTGTTATGGGCCACTTCTGGTAATTGCAGTTCCAAGAAAAGTAGATTATGTATACTTTTTCCCGACCGTCTTAAGGGATGCAGCTTAAGTTTCCCAGCTCATTTGAAGCTTTCCCCCAGCGTAAACCCTTTTGAGCTGGAGGCTTTCCCGCTGCGCAACTCCCATCGTCTTGAGTTTCCGTCAAAACTTGTGGCTGATTTATGGCCAACTCGGTGGCCGTCAAAGGACACGCTCCTAGCCGGGTAAGCCGAGCCACATCCGCTTCCGCTTCAGAGCCCGCTCAGTCCCAAAGGATTCGCCCACAACAAGGTAGTAAGCTCCTCTTGATTAGCCAACAAAGGTCGCAGCGCAATAATGCAGCGGTTGATAAGCGGGCGGCATCATAAAACTGTCGTTTGCCAGTTGATAAGAGCTGATAAGAGCGGCGCGTGCGGCACCAGTTGGCCATCGGCAACGAGGTCAATCCGGGGTTATTCCGGGGTCAAGCGCCGTTTCGCCATTCGCATGGCCACTCATGCCGGGCTTACCTGTAAAAAAAACAACGAGTATCAATGGAGTATTAGTTATGAACATTTATAGATATAGTATAAAACATGGTACTTGTATTAGAAATTACTAAATATTTTAAAGGGATGTCTCTTAAAGGTACTGAAACCTTAAACATAAATCGTTAACGAAGCAGTAGAAAATTAAGGTGTTGGTGGAAAACATTTCTCTCAAAGTAATTTGGGATATGTTAAAAAATATCAAAAAATATTTTCATTTTATTTCAATAAAGCATTCTTATATAAATAATACTTATTCTGTATTAACAATAATCTCAAACAGTTTAAACGTTTGTTGGCAATAATTTAATTATATAAATAATTGCTCAATAAAGAACATTCTCAAAAAAATAATGTTTTAAGACGAAAATAATTAAATTAAATTAATTAAAGTCTAGCAAATACACAAGTTAATAAGTAAATAAGTTCTGTGTATTAGCTTCTACAAAATTATAAATAAAATAACTAAAGGCCAACAGGGTAACCTGAAGACCCAGTTCTTGACGGCGCTATTATTATACTCAAAATCGCCTGGGGAATGTAATAAACATAAAAATTATACATACCTACAGACATGCTTATGCATATTAGCGCTAATGTCTGGAACTGAGGCGATGGCGGCGTCGAGATAAAACTAAAATGGGAGCCATCTGAATTTGCCCCCTTTGTGAAGGCGGCAAAAACTTTTCAGACTGACTGCAAACAATGACGTAGCTGCTCCTTAGTCCCTCATTTATGCAAATGGCCGCCATTTGCAGCAGCACAAAGGACATGGACTCGCATGGAGGATTTATAATAGCAAATGCGTTATTTATTTGCTGTGTTATTGTTTATGACTGTCGGCACTTTATTGCACTCCATATAATATATATAAATATATATTTGCTTGCAGACATTTTCATTTAATTATGGACGACCGTCCAACCAGATGTTTTTTCCATTTTTCAGTCATTATTTTACGGAGACAAGTTCCGTTGATGTGCCAAGTTTTTATTGTATTTGATATCTGTTTGAATTTATTATATTGAGCTCTCAGTTGGAGCTGCCAGAGCAGAAGCAGCCATGCAGAAAGGTCACTGCGGATTGGCTGAGTCACTTTCTAGTGAGTGCCGACTATGATGGAGCACTTGGCAAGGCTCTGCTCCTGCGGCAGGATACTTAAAAAAAACAGTCAATTGATAACCCAAGTTGAAATAGGTGTTCAATCAACTCCCATTTCCCTGGAGGTCAAAGGTAAACCGCTTAGCAGGAACTACTCTTCAATTTATGTAAATGTCGAGCATCAGAAATTGCAAGTGCTTTGGGGAGGACTTAAGTCTTAAGCTAAGTTTTGTTTTGTCAAATAACCTTTCTTACTCAACTTACAACAAAGATTGTCTCTTGGCCAAGACTTTCCATTTATATAATCAAAATAATCTGGGTCAATTTACGCTAACCTAAACGAGACACTCAATTATGTAAATGATAGCCATTATGTACACTACATAATAATAAACTTTGTGTGAAATTTAAATTTATACAATATATTATAAATTAAGTTAAACACGGTGTATGTCCACCTACTTGTATTATGAATAATTTAAACTTAGTGTTTAATTTATTCATGCGATTTATTTTAGGAATACTTTAGTTCAAGCTTGTAAATATAAACCAACTTCATGCAAATCTATTAATGCTTTTAAATAAATTATTAGATAACTTTACTAGACTGAATAATACATGTTTGGTAGTAGTTAATTTAAGTTTATATTCATGGCAGAAATAAAGCAAACGAACCAGAAAAATTCAGTTCACAAGTTATTTTTTATTTTTCGTGCAATCTCCGTGTTAATTTATTTTAGTTTATGGCTGAAAGTCAATTTCAGATCAATTGCTATCTGTCGCAAAAGCAAATTGCAGAAGCGTAGAGTTATTCATATTCATCTTGGGTGGCACATGGTTTTGGCATCCGTTCCCCAGTCCACAAAAGCACATCGCAATTGGAAAAATCGGTTATAAACTAATTTGAATATGTCACAAGCTGTCGAACAGTGTCGACATTTCCAAGAGCTTCGATTTTCTTGCCCTGAACAAAATAACAATAAATATAAGCAAAAAGCCAGACACTCAACATCTGCAACTTGCAATGCAGTTCCGCAAATCGATGACGAAAGCGAAAATATGTGAATATACATTTTTCCCGTTCTTATTTTAAGACAACGACAAACGGAAGGAGAAGCGAAAAGGCCGGAAGCTGAATTTATACACAGAAAAATGTACTTTCTTCATTAAAATTATCTTATTGAATTTTTTCCAAGAAGTGGAATCTCCTATATAACAGACAAAAACACTATTTGTCTGTATTTAGGTGTATTAGTTATTTAATCAGGTGGAAATAAAAATAAATTTCCCTCTTTATTCACAATTTTTGAAACCATACTGATGTAATGATGTGCATCCGAAAGATTATAGCACGATAGCGAAGTAAGTCAAACTTTATTTGGTGTAAAATTAGCTAGTCCTAAATTAAATATAACCAAAGTGACCTCGAGTTTAATTAAACTTTAAAAGATTAAATTTTCTTTATTTCAAATTTCCCTTGTAGTTCACTGCAGCGACCTGCATTATTTTATATTCGCAAAGTTTTTAAAAAATTTATGTGGGGAAAGGGAATTTTATCAAAATGGCCTTTGGCCTCAAAAGGGGTTCAATAATTTATTTTTGTTCCTTATTTTTATTAAGCATAAAAGGGGCGAAAGCGATTGTGGATGTATTGTTCTTTAGGGAATACGATATCGTCTCAGTTCCTCTGCTCTTAAAATTGAATGCAATTGCGTTTCGAAAAAAAACCTATAAATATGTGAGCCTGCTCCAACAAAAGTTAGTTGAATTTAATTTTCCACTTAGCAGATTCACCGCTTTATAATGCAGCTCCATTGGACATTTTTTGGAAGCATTTTATTTATAATAATCATCGAACAATCAAGGGCGGACTTTCCATTTTCTGTGCGGTTTTGCTGTCCCCTTAAGAATATGTTGGCCAATGGAGACTGCAATGATGACTTGGAGGATTTGCTGGCTCATTCCAATCCTCATCTAAACGTAACCCTCGAATCCGTTTCAGAAGGGGAAGTGCAATACAACATTGCCGATATGATCGTGATGAGGGAACCGCTTCAGTTTTGCGATGAGCTATTCAACCTTCGGGAAAATGAGTACAGATTGCTAGAGGTTAGTCTTTTGGGCAGCCATCTGTTTCCCTTTCTAATCCGAGCTCTTCAGGACGGAACATTTCTCCTTTACTCCTTGGAATTTGATTTGTACGAAGGTGATTACTGCCTCTATCCATATCAGTCCTACTTAGACTTTCCAAAATCCATATGGATTGTTCGCCATACCTACACTGGAAAAATGATCCCAGCGGCTTTTGAGCGTAAGGTAAATTACTACTTTCTTTTAATTTGCCTTACCATGTCTGATTTTCCAGTAATGGTGATTTCAATGATATGCTATATCCTCACCATCGTGGTGTATATTTTCATAAAGAAACTGCGGAATATCCTTGGCAAATGCATTATCTGCAGCCTTTTCAGCATTTGTATGGTGTACCTCATTTTCATACTGGATTATTTAAATTTATCAAGCGACATTTGCTCTGCAGCAGGTAAGTTGTTGAAAATCAATTCGGACTACGATTCAGGCTATTAAATCTTTATGTTCTTTAATAATTCTTTAATAATTTATTGCTCGAACGCAGGTTACAGTTCGTACTTCTTCAGAATGGCCTATAATCTCTGGCTTTCTGTCATCAGTTATCATATGTGCAAATTGTTCAAGTCGGTCAGACGCAGTGAACCTCGATATCGGTTTCTGAAATACATCTCTTTTGTATGGGTCACAGCTTCTATATCGACCGGAATCATATTTTTGATTGACAAAATTTGGGAGAAGGATCCCAAGGCATGGAATTGGATACCCCAAATTGGTTATACTACATGCTTCATTAAATGTGGGTTTTTAGTGGAGGTAAATTAAGCTTGTCATCCTGTATTACCAACTACTTTCGTTCATAGTTGATAAATACTCTGCCTGGATATACTACCATGCCCCTTTGCTAATTCTAGGCACCTTTAATGTGATCAAGTTTATCCTCACAGCAATTCACATTTGGAAAGTAAAGAAAGAAATAAGGAGATTTGCTCAAGATAAGAAGACAACGACTACTTGCTTTAATTTCGACAGTCAGTCGTAAGCCATATTTGCTTTCAAATCTTATTTGTTTTAAATTATTTTTTAATTTATACTTGTTCCATACTTTAATTTTAGCTATTTACAGTTTCTGAGAATCTCTGCCATGATGGGCGTGTCATGGATCCTGGATGTTAGTCAGTATTTTATTGATGCCAACCAGATTTGGCAGCTGTTTGTTTTGATTTTCGAATACCTTCATGATGGTTTTGGTGTTATCGTTTTTATTCTGCTCATTCTAAAGCGCAGCACTATTGATCTGATCATGGAAAGGTAAGTCTTTTATGAAAAAGTCCTTTAGAAAAAAGGTTATAGTAACCATTTCCTGTCCTTTCAGATTTCGAGAAAAGTTATAAGCCGCAACAATGGCGAAAATCGGTTGAAAAATTAATTTTTCCAAATCAACCTTTAATCGATAGCTTGAGCTCACAATTATTTTGTCTGTTCGTTGTAGTTTTGCCAAGTTAAAAACCAAGAAAAACCCTTATAAAACAATTTTTATAGCCAAAAGCCCGAAATAAACAACTTTAGTTTCGGTTTCGTTATATTTTCGTTTAATTGAAAACTCAATAAAACGATTATTCGCACACTTACATATGTAAATACTTTTAAAGACCCGCCTTTGAGTGTGTGTTACGTCCGTAAATCTGCCACTGAATCCATGTGAGATTTAACTTTTTCTGTAAGCCAATGGTCAGCTGCCAATAAATTGGTTGGCGGTGGGCGGTCTCTTTGGATTTGTGTGTAATTGTGCGAGTCAAGTGGATTCGCAGTGGGTCGGGTCATAAAGGTTAAGCCAAGTGGAAATGTAGGGGTGATTAATCTGAAAGAACCCAAAAGGTTTCGTTCTACTGGTCAACGGTTATTCTATTAAAAAACTTTTATATCGCCGGGCGGTAAAAGTGTCAAGAGCGAGGCAAATAAACGAAAACTCTTTGGCGCGTCATGCCATTGATTGGCATGGCCACCCACGAGAAGCCAGTTTTTCTTACTAAATTGTTGTCTTTGGGGCGAAAGGAAACATCATCTGTCAGCCGGCAAGGCAGCCGTCTTATTGGGAAATGAAAATATTAAAAATGTATTTCGACTGTCGGGCCAAAGGAAAGCCATCGCACTGACAGGTGCAGGAAGGGAAGGAAACACCCAAAGGAAAAATAAATCAGCGGGCCATAATCCGCCGCGTTGTCTCTGAACTGAGCTTTCCAAGTTTCGCCGCCTTTTCTATGGCTTTTCAACCGACGAAAAAGCCTAAAAACTCAGGCACATGCCAACAACGGATCAAGTTTGAGGGCTTCAACGAAAAGCCAAAAAATTAATGTACAAGAAATATTCAAAAAATATAACAGAAGGAAATAACTGAAAATCATCAACTCAGTATTCATAAAAGTGGGAAGACTTTAACAGCTTTAGCAACAGATAATAAATACAATAAGCGTGGGGCATAATTTATCGTCAAGTTTGATAAATGCATTTGTGCCAATTGATCTTATCAATCATAAAATAGCAAAGTTCAAAATATTATTCAAGAAAATGTTAGAGTTCAAAATGTTTTCAAATGGCATTTACTCGCTTATACACCAAGAAATAATTTGAACGGAAATTAAGTAGAGATTTCACAATTTATAGTTGATAAATACAATTTTTGGCAATAAAATTTAAAATATATTTAATTTATATGTATAATTAATAATTAAGAATTGATTTTAAATGCAACGAAACTTTAAAAAATGGTTTAAAAAATGCAATTAAATTCCGCCATTGACTTGTGACCGCTGCCAAAATAACGTTGGCAACCACTGGCTAAATTTGGACATGGCACTTTCCAAAACCACTTGGCTTATCCTTCGCCCATTTCCGTTGAAAACAATGCTCGGTCTTCTGCTGCCCAAATAATAAACATTAAATTAATTTCCTCGAGCGACTTCACCCACGCAGAATGTACATTTTATCTCACCCATCAGAGTTTCGTAGTGCACTTCCGGAGGGTAAACGAATGATATACGGGTGTTGTCTAGGCGTTCCTCAATTGCACAAACACAAACTGGGTCGTTGTGGTCATTATGGAGGGTATAAAACTTGATTGTTCGCCTTACGACATTTGGCTGCCTTATAAATAGACAGACGGGCACTTTCACTGGGTGCAATGGTTATTGCAGTGTTGCGGCAACATGCAACTTGCATTGCAGTAATGAAGGCGCCAGTTTGCTTTATGAATGAATATCCCCCAAAAAACCAGCAACATTTCAGCGGCGCATGCCCATTGTCACCCGGCAACATATATTGCTGCGGGGCAGCAACATGCAACATTGCAGCTAGGCGCCAGCCGGAAAAACTAAGCGGAAAATTCGGCGGCACAGTTGGCAGACAGCTTTCAACGCGTTCGCGTCAGGAAAAGCGTTCGGCAAACGAAATTCGAAATATTTAAAAATATCACTCATACGCACGGGAGAGCGAGTGCCCGAAACGAGAGTGAGAGTGCACCGATATTCACCTGGCACTTGCCACTAAATAAATAAAAACCAAGTTTTGTTTATTCAAAGCGAAACGGAGAAAGTGTTTCAATAATCACCACTTAGTATATAATCAAGTGAAATCGCCTGCCAGCAGCGCATTAATTTAAAAATAAATATATTAAATATATTCTGGCGTGTGTGAGTGAGCAGCATCGATAAAAAGCTCTCCGAAGAATTTTTCGGAGGCGTAACGTGAAATCACATTGGCTAATTATCTTCGCCGAAAACTGAGGAAGCCAAAGAACTCTCAGCCCCCAAAAATCGAATTGTAGATCATTCCATTCCAACTTAATTAACCCCATCACGCCGACAATCCCTTGGCATTGATTGTTGACATTGTCGCCGCAGAGATATGCAAATGGGAATATGCGAATATCTTGCAGACACACGAGTTGTAAATTAAATTCCCAAGGTAAGCAAATAAGGCTTAATAAGCCTATTAAAAAAACAACACAGAAAACGTGTGTCGTAAAACATGCGTTTTCCTTAAGAAAGCAAATGTCAAGTGGATTTTTTTATTAGCATCCTTGGGTGTGGAAAATCCTCATGATTTCCATGTCGATAAGCCGCAGCATGTTGAATATTAAAAAGATTAATTTATTGCGCTGGGAACCTCTCATGTGGCTTGTCGACTGAAAATATTCCACAAAGGCATTCTTTATTATTGTCTGGGGAAGGCGAGCCAGAAGGACTCTCTGCCGCTGACGGGTCATCCACGAGATGCAATCGGTCGAACATACTCGATTTCCATAAAACTTTCCATTGAAAGCGTCTTCCTCAGTTTCTCGCTTTTATTATAAAATACGAATTCAAAAGAAAAACATCATGCGAAGAGTGCTTTATTGTAATGGTATAACAAACTGTACAAAATATTACACACCCACTTATCGAATTCTATACAATTTGATAACAATGTGGAAGCTTCTCCCTGTAAGGGAATATTATTTAAGCAATAACCTTTTTTATTTAAAGTTCACTCCCACTTTTAATTTAATAATAAATTTAGGAATTTTTTTTAAATTTCTTTTACATTTAATTCAATAAAAATTTAAAGGAATATTGGTTAAAGTGCATTATATTTGTTGTAAAGAAATATAAAAAACCAACAAATGAAGTATGAAAACTGAATTTCCCCCTTTCTGCTTATATTTTACCATGTACAATAGGAATTAAACAAAAATGTAATAAGCCTCAACACAACATAAATATCAAAGGGCTAAATTGTCCAAAGTAATATAAGTTTTCTCCGAAAGCTAAACTTTGTCAAAGACATTTTTTGTTCACCTATTTCTTTATTTTGCCTGCACTTTCCTAACACTTTAATCAAAATATGTGCAAATAAATATTATTTAATCAATTATTAAATTACATAACCTAGCTTGGAGCGTAAAATGTTACTTTTATTTTATTCTGTTGTTGACAAACTTTGACTTTCAGCAGTTGAAGCAATAAGTTCTAAGGATTTAAAATTTAATTAAAAGCAGAAACCTAATAAGAGATGGTAGAAAGATTAAAGTAAGAAGTACACCAAGAACATGAATTACAAAGTTTTCGGCAGCATTCCTTGGGCTTAAATAAATACAAAAGTACTTGTAAAGTAAATTTCTATGCCACATCTTTTTGTTCAGCATATTTCCCAGGTAGTGCCGTTCAAATTTATTCACATGCATTTCTCTTATCCACAAAATGCATATTAATTAACTAAATGCTGCAAATTCATTTGCATACGAGCTGAAAAAATAAAACAGAGAGAAGCGTGCAGTTGAAGGTAAAAAACTCAGACTCAGCGGAAAAATGGATAGCAGCAGTAGATTTTTCTTGGCCTTGGGTTAAATACTGCCAGCAAATAGATCTTGAGCCTTTTCCCCTTCGCTGCTACTTAATGTCTCAATGATTAAGTATACGACGCGTGGTACTTTGCAAGCAACAATGCAGCGATTATTTACCCTAAACGCAGTAATTCAGGGAAACAACCGCGTGGGCCATTAAATAGAAAAATAAGAGACATCACTGAAAAAAATGGAATATCCCTGGCTTAACCAATTGTTAATGCTTTATAGCACTGTGAAAAAAATAATGCCACTTGAATAAACAACATTAACAATTGCTTATTGGCCAACACCTATTATAATAAACAAAGCAATTAGAAATATATACAGCCCACTTTCCCAATACATTAATGATGAAAGCCATATGCCTTTATAGAATAAATAAATATAGGATTATTAAACATATTTAAATTGCTGTCATTCTGAATCAATCAAGATAAAAAAAAACTTTTTTCTCTGTGTAAAAAGAGTAACAGAGACGAACGCGTTTAAGCATAAATCATTTGCTCTACGGAGAGCATTCAGCACCTGGCCATTGAGCAATCAAATTGTGTGAATTCCGACAATTAAAGGTCCTGGATGCCGAATGCCTTCTGGGAATCCCAGGACCTCGGCAGGATGCTCATTAAAACCGAAATTGCAACAGAAGTATGCAAATGACTGGGGCCAACCAAACAAAAACCGGGCTGGACATTCATAGCCATCCCTGGTTTGGGCCAAGTCGCTTTTCTTTATTTCCCAGCGTTTTCCTTTTGGTTCCGACTGCCAGATTGTCGAGAGCAAAAGCCTTGAAACTGTCAACTAAAAATAAATCGCAAAGAGCTCACTTTTCTCTCTTGCTCTACGAATATAATAATTATAATTCTGTGTTTTCATTTTGTGCCGCCAACCAGAATCTTTGACTTTTATATGCTTTATTTTTTATTTGGCTTTATATGCTCAACATGCGGCTGAGCACTCTCAATTCTATAAATTTTGCGTTCAGAAAACACTAAATCCAAAGCTATATGTCTATATGCAAAGCGAATTCCGCGAGCACATGGAACAACAATGAAAAGTGGAAGGCAAACATAAGTTAATATACTTAGACTGCTTAATTAAATAAATTTAGTAAGCATGTCAGAATGTAGAGTGAAATATAGCCGAAGCAGAGGTGTCGATTTTTAGTGGTTTTGTGAGATTTCCATTTTCTTTTTGTTTTATTATATAAATTTGTGTACATTGTAAAAATAAATTTAAATTATTGCTAATGAATATATATATTATATATATATATATAATGAATTTATCAATTAAATATTTGTGACTTTAATATTTTATCGTTAAGTAGATTTGATTTTTATAGATTAACAACTTTAATTCATTATTAACGGGAAAACCGAAGTTGTATTTATAAACAAAAGAAATGAATTAATCAATCAAGAATACAATTTGGTATCGATATGCTTTTTTTCAAATTAATGCTTGCCCATGATATTTATGCCTCTAATTCACTGTGCCCATAATTAATGGTTAGCACCTGCCAAGCTATCAATAACATGTTTACGTTCGTTTGAATAAAATCGAATACTTTCGGTTTATTTCAATTTAAGCAAGGAAAACAAATCTGCACGGCACATGCCAGAAATCCCAGCCAAATGAAAATGACACAATCCAGACAATTCGGCGCCAAACTAAACAAGGATTTTCCACACCAAGCCAACTGCACTTATGAAAATCCAACAAAGCAAAACTAGAGAAAATGGAAAAACAAAAAGGAAAAGTGATGGCCAAGAAACATTCCACATGCAAATTGCTTTCTGAATAATTAAGCTTGATGCCGTTCACAGAATGAAACATTAATTGAAACTATTTGTCGGGCGACATGAAAAGTGAAAGGATGCGACGTGTCTTTTCTAATTATCCTGCCATTGATTTGGTTATAACACTCGGCTGTAAATAACATTCCATTTAATTATACCAATTGGATTTAATTGCTGCCGCACTTGAAAGTGCAATTAGCCCAGCAAGGTGCACTTTATTCATAAAGTATTTAAAAAAAAATATAACAGGGAAAACCATTTATACCCATACTGAAAAAACTTGTATGGCTCAGTCAAAGTTCACACAACTCTTGCCCTCGGTTTTTTTTTTAAGGGTTTAAAAGCTTAAAGTTTTTTTGAATGGCTTGCATGTAGATTTCAGTCAGCTTTTAGTGGTTAAGCCTCGTAATCTGAGCTGTATTTATGGTTCATTCAGCCGTTCAGAGATCTGTAAAAAGCGGTTTCCCCAAACTGGGGATTGTTAATGGTTTTTTGGAATTGCACTCACTGACTTTAGAATTTGTACTCCTTTTGATTTTTAGTTTAAATAACTTTTAATAAATAAATAAATTTATGAAAGTTTATCTTTTATACTTCATTTATATTTCCAGACACGTTATTGTCTTGTTTCTTTATATCAAAGTCATTAAATTTTAAGGGAAATGCTTTAATGACTTTAACATTTTTAAAGTATATTTTACCAATAATCGATTAATTAAAATTAAATTGAAATTGTCTTTGAACTTAATAAAAAATAAATTAAAATGCCCCCTGGTAAAATCATAAAGCAAACCATTTTAGTTGATATTTGTTTGCGTATTAGGGCAGTCCAAAATATGGAAAGGACATACGAAATGCACTCATCATCCTCGAAAGAGTCTTTGATGTTTACTGTTTTTCCGAAGAACATGTAAAAACAACAAAAGCCGAAAAAAGCGACTGCCAAAGTAACAAAGACCAAACGGCAGTGAAACCGAAAAGCCTCTGTTTTCCGTTTTTTTTTTGTTCCGGGTGACAAAAAAAAGTGGTGGGGAATTCCAAATACCAGAACTGCCGCAATAAACCCAGCTGTGAGGAAAAATTGCTGGCTAGGATAGAGTGTTTTTTTGTTTTGCTTTGGCCCGGCTGGCAAAAAGCAATTTCGGGACTGGTCGTGTGGGCGATTTACCAATGTCAGCGCCGTAAAAAGTAAATGTGTGAGCCACACGGAGGCGGAGCAACGAAGACCGGACACGTGCAGGCCGTCAAGAGTGGCAAAAGGGTCACAGGCATTAAATATAATTGCGCTTATAATTGCCAGCACAGTTGCTACGAAAAATACTCCCCTCTCTCGCCCAGAAAGCTCTTCAATTCTCGCCTCTAATTGTGATAATCGCATTAGGACCCCAGGGTCGAAACAATGAAACTTTCGGGGTAGAACGGGCTTTCAGTCCTTAACGACACCTGCAGTCCAATGACCGCAAATCGCTGACCACTTAACATGCGAACAACTGCAGCAGACACGGCCACTTAATCAAAATGTTGCTGCTGCATGCCAGATAACAAATGCAAATTCACCAAATATCACGCATACGCAGCGTGTGACCTGTCCTTTGCCCTCCATTTGTTCTGGTCTTCTGCACTCTGTGGTTAACGGAGCAAAACCGCAAACATCGCAAACACCCATTGCCACAATTACATGTATCATATCAACAAAAGCACTTGCCGCACTTATTGTTTAACTAACCTGGCCATAAATTACGTCAGCATTGATTCACAATCGCATTCAGCATGGGAATATATATTGATTTCTTTATGCAATCAAGGGAATAAGTCACACATAGCTCCTGTTTAAGCTCACTGAGGGAAATTTTTAATATAGAGGATTATCTATACAAAACCTCCTGAATTTTTCTAGATAATCATTTTTAGTAAGCAAATAATTAGAAATACTTATTTCAATAATAAATAAAACATTAAACATTTTAATACCTTTAAATATCCAAATTTAAAGTAGGTTTTCAAAATTATTTATGTATAATTTTCCAGGGTTTATATACGATTAATAAGATTTATATATTTCTTGCAGTACCCATCTAACAGATATAATATTATATGGGCGTGTGCTTTGACTGATTTGCAGACCACTTGATGAGCTATCAGTCGCATTTTGGCCCCATTCTTTTTGTATCTGTGTGTTTGTTTGTTGTCCAAATAGATCGAGGCGTAGGGTGTGTGTATACCACATACCGTTTTTGGTTTGGCCACTTAAGCTTGATTGATGTGTCAAAAATGTGACACTCAATGGGCTCGGCGGTGTGGGAAATCGTGATATTTACACGTGGCCACGACATATTTAGTGCCAGCCGAAACCCCTAAATGATTTAGTGCCCACACTTGTTGCCAGACAGTTCGATAAGGCCGAGAACAAATAAAGTGAATTAAATCATTAGAGTGTGACAAACACAGGACCTTCATTAAGGGATAATGGCCAATAGAAATCGAAACACTCTATTCAGCAAAAACCAATTTCAATGGCAATTAGTGGCAATCCTTTTCGGGACACAAAACTGTTTCCGACTAATTTGCTGTTAGTTTTGGGTAGTCCTTATAATGAAGATTACATTTTGTGGTTTGCTTTAGCTGTAAATGCTATTTATATACGTAAATACAGGTGACTATCAAAATTGACAGGCTGATAGCAAGAACTTGATTATATTGATGAGCAGATAATTTATATGTGATCAAAAAAGCAGATAATAAAATATAAATGAAGATAATGCATTTTTGTAGTATCCAAGTACTGATTAACAAAGTATTTTGATATTTATCGCTATTTATAATACTAAAATAATCTATGGAATGATGGTTTTTTGATAAAAAATGATTTCACACTTAAAAGATTTTAACAAAATTCTGAAAATCAAATTCATTTGTACTTAATTTAATCAATTTTCTTAGCATTTACTCAAAATCGTTCTACGTCGTAAGAATATATTCCTAAGGGAGTTAAAAGGACTCCCTTCCCTTGTCTTCTGGGAATAGTTAATTTCAAGAAAATTACACTTTTGACGTAGCCAAGCATAATAAATGGCCAAATCATTCTGAAACGCAATATTCTTGTTCTAATTATAGAACTAATTGTTACAAATTTACCTGTAAAAGCAGGCATCAATTAGGCTTCCTTTTAAACAACAAGAAGAGGAGGCCAGCAATTGACACCAAAGACATTTATAATGCGAACCCAGGCAAACATACATATATCTTACTTATTTCCACACCAACTGCCAAGCAAATAAGTTTGTTTGGGGGGACAGGGGGAAGCCTTCTTGTTGTTAATCGATATAACCTAAGTTACCTTTCTCAAATGCACCGAAGAAAATTCCCAAAAAGATTGTTAGTTATGTAACCATAGTTAAACTAAAAAATGTATGGTTTTCTTAAGCAATATTTAAAGAATTCCATCTGAGTTGTATAAATATGTAATAAAATACCCAATGTTACTGTTTATTCTACTGAAATTAAAGTTTTATAACCAACCAATCAAAATATAAAAAATTTATAAAAATCATCCAATATATTTTCATGACAGTATTTTTAAATTTTTAAATATTTTAAAAATGTCTTTTATTATTTACATAAGTTCTATGTTCAGTGCTGAACCTACAAGCTTGTACTAAACGACCTTCCATTTTTCATTTCCTATTTTGCAGCTTAAAGTGTCGACGACGCCGGCCGAAAGCCGGGACAAAGGACATCGTCACCAGGTGCTCGTGACCCCTGACCCGAGACCAAAGAGCCAGGACCAACAATAAGTACCCGACCTGTGGCCGCAGAATTGATGTTCGTGCGAAAGTTTCCCCTCAGCTGTGCAAATGTTACGGCCAGGACTCGAGTAGGATTGCGGATCGGGGAAGTGGGTCAGTAGAAGCCAGTGGTGGTGCAGCCATGAGTGGAGCAGCCGTTGCCCGGTTGCTCCTCCGCCTGGAGCTACCCTCGCCAGGAGTAATGCCACCGCCGCCCACGGACTACGACTATGGAGCGATGGACTATAGAGCCATCAGCGAGGACGAGTTCCTGGCCAGTGTGGTGGCCACCGAGGGACCAACGGTTCGATATGATCTGTTCCCCCAGAACCACACCAACCATCCCAGCCTGCACGTCATCCTCAACCACACGGAGGTGCAAACGGATCTGCAGTATCCCCACTACGAGGACTTGGGTCTGGATGCGGATCCCAATTGGACGCGCATCTGCGAGGATGTGTACAACCCATCGCTGGAAAATAACCGCATCGAGTTCTGGGTGTGCGGCGTACTGATAAATATCGTGGGAATCCTCGGCATCCTGGGCAACATCATCTCCATGATAATCCTCTCCCGACCCCAGATGAGATCGAGTATCAACTACTTACTCACTGGCTTGGCTCGCTGCGATACCGTGCTAATTATCACCTCAATACTGCTGTTCGGAATACCCTCAATATATCCATATACAGGGCATCTGTTCGGCTACTACAACTATGTGTATCCGTTTATATCGCCGGCGGTATTTCCCATAGGCATGATTGCCCAGACGGCCAGTATATACATGACCTTCACGGTGACCCTGGAAAGATATGTGGCCGTTTGCCATCCCTTGAAAGCGAGGGCCCTCTGTACTTACGGCCGAGCCAAGATCTACTTTATAGTGTGTGTGTGCTTTTCGTTGGCCTACAATATGCCCCGATTTTGGGAGGTTCTAACCATAACCTATCCCAAACCGGGCACAGATGTAATACTCCACTGCGTGAGACCCTCGAGATTGAGGCGATCGGAGGCGTATATCAACATCTACATACACTGGTGCTACCTGATCGTGAACTACATAATACCCTTTCTCACCTTGGCCATACTGAATTGTCTGATTTATAGACAGGTGAAAAGGGCGAACAGGGAGCGACAGCGATTGTCGAGATCGGAGAGAAGGGAAATCGGGCTGGCCACAATGCTGCTGTGTGTGGTGATAGTTTTCTTTATGCTGAACTTCCTACCGCTGGTACTCAACATATCGGAGGCCTTCTACAGCACCATCGATCACAAGATAACCAAGATTTCGAATCTACTGATCACGATCAACAGCAGCGTTAACTTCCTGATATACATCATTTTTGGCGAAAAGTTCAAGCGCATTTTTTTACTCATTTTTTTCAAGCGACGCCTGAGTCGTGACCAGCCGGATCTCATCCACTACGAGAGCTCCATATCGAACAACGGCGATGGGACGCTGAACCACCGATCCTCCGGCCGCTTCTCGAGGCACGGAACCCAGCGGAGCACCACCACCACGTATCTGGTGGCCACCGGCGGACCCGGCGGGGGTGGGGGGGATGCGGTGGTGGCGTTGGCAATAATTCGCTGAACAACGTACGACTGACTCAGGTGTCGGGGTCACCGGGCCTGGTCAAGATCAAGCGGAATCGGGCTCCATCGCCTGGTCCCGTGGTCTACTTTCCCGCCCGCGAAATGCAGAGATCCGCATCCACCACGAACTCATCGACCAACAATAATACATCCATTGGTTACGACTGGACGCTGCCGGACAACAAGAAACTGGGACACGTCTCCTCCGGATTCTGAGGCTGTGTCCGGGGAAAATCGATGAGAGTGGGTCCTGGGAAGAGTGTTAGCCTAGTCCACTAGTCTTGTAAATAGGAATAGCCGGAATAACAGTTTAGGTCAAAATAATAGTAAGGATGCATTGGGTCCCTGAAAAATATTTTATAGAAAATATAATTTCCACACGCTTATGATAAAATAATGTAGTTAAATATTATGTTCTTTATATAAAAGATTAAATTTACCGTGATTATACCCGTTACTCGTAGAGTAAAAGGGTATATTGTATTCGTGCAAAAGTATGTAACAGCTAGAAGGAAGCGTTTCCGACCCTATAAAGTATATATATTCTTGATCAGGGTCACTAGCCGAGTCGATATAGCCATGTCCGTCTGTCCGTCTGTCCGTCTGTCCGTCTGTCTGTCCGTCTGTCTGTCCGTCCGTATGAACGCTGAGATCTCGGAAACTATAAAAGCTAGAAGATTGGCATTTTGCATGCAGATTCTAGGAGTTCCTACGCAGCGCAAGTTTGTTTCAAAAAGGTGCCACGCCCCCTTTAACGCCCACAATCGCTTATATACGATTTTAAAAATTTAAATATTTCGGAAAAGTAAAAATGCAGTTTTATTGTGTTTATCAATACCTATCGAAATGTAGAAGAAATTTTTCGAATCGGACCATTCGTTAAAAAGTTATGCGTGATCAAAGTTTCTATCTCCATCTCCCTCGCACTCCCTTTACCTGAGTAACGGGTATCTGATAGTCGGGGCACCCGACTATAGCGTTCTCTCTTGTTTTATATTTTATTTGACCAAGATTTCTGTTATTTTTGTTCCAAAAGTTTTTCAAACATAATTTTTTCTAATTTTGTAAAACTTCATTTAATTAAAAAAGAATTTTTAGAGCAACAGAACTTCAACATATTTTATCACATATTGTATTAAACTTTTACTTTTAATGATCCTTAAGAAAAATAGTTAGACATAAAATAATAGTTCTCAAAACGTTCAATAATCACCAAGTCCCTGCTAATATTTTGACCGCAGCTGTGAATACTATATGTTAAACTGTACAGAAGGCATCAACTAAACGCTCCAAGCGTTGCGTTACTTTGTGATAAGCGTTAAGTGTTTCCTTCCCCAATTTCTCAACTACTCCTCCAAAACTTTACTCGTTGATATAGCTATTAAGACAATTAGTTTCGTTATTGATCAGATCAAGTTGGAGAAAACTAGTTTCCTAGACTGACAGTTTAATAAAGCTCTTTTCCGACTTTTTTCCTTTCACTAGCTCTTGTTCAGTCGATTGAATTTGTATCAATTTCGCACTAAATTAGTCATTGAAACTTTTCGAACCCAATACAGTTTCAGTTCACTTTCCGCCGGCCTTTGACCGAAGTTTTATTTATTAGCGTGTACTTCGGCTGCCTTTAATTAAATATATTTTACAACGCATTTCTTGGCCGAACTTGATGAATGATTTTCCTTTTCTTCGCCTGATTTGGGTTTCCCGAACTTTTCGATTTTCCTCACACTTTCCCGGAAACTTGGGTTCTTTGGGTCCAAAAAAACAAGAAGGCCAGAGCAATCTGTCAACTTGTCAGAAAGTTTTAAAAACGCCGCTCAAAGTTTAGTCAGCTCAAAAGTTTGCCACCTTTATTTAGTCGCCCAAAAAACTCAAGTAGCTCAATTTAACAGCAACTACAACAATAATAAACAACAAAAGAAAAAGACATTTTCAGGTGTTCACAAAAGAATTAATTGTACTGCTCCTTGGTCCTCAATAATAAATATAACATCTTCTCCCGCTATCGTGTAAATACATTTAAGAGTTTTTGTAAATATTTATAATTTAGCAAGTATGCAAAGCATAAACGAAAACCAAAGATACAAAATCTAGCTTTCAATTCAGATTACTGAAGTCCAGGAGAGGGGATCCTAAGTCATTCTTTGGAAGTGTTTGAAGGGTGGATAATAAAAATACCTTCTGAAATTATTTTATTTAAGGATTACTATGCCTTAAACACTTTAAATTGAAATACTCACAATAAAGTTAGGGGACATCGCCAATCTTTCTGCTCAAAAGCAATGATTTAGTATCCTCTTTTTCTAATAAAAATATACCCTAATTTATTTAGATCTAGTTTAGCTTTAATATTGTGAAGTCATAGCAAATACGTAATCGAAACCAATATGAATAATTTCAAGCGATTGTGCAAATAAATGATGATGAGAAATCCGAAATGCTTTTAGTGTGCGAATAATTTATCAAATTTTGCGGGCCCGATTTGCATTGATTTTCAGATTTCGCACCGCAATTACCACAGCCGCCATAATAGCCAAAGTTTACTAGCCAGACGCAGTTTGGAAAATGATAACGAGCACTTAAGGCGGCCACTTGCAATTCAATTTGGCCGGGTCCTGTCGGATAATTGCCAACGCAGTGTCAGGCCGATGGGAAAATCTCGGTCCTGGGAAAATCTAAGCTCGAAGGGATTAGGGGGATGGAGAAGACGAACCAGGAGGTGGAGGTCCTTGCGCATTTGCGTATCTTATGCTAAGCACGTTGGCAGGATGTCGACTTTAGTCAAGACAGTCGAGAAGCCGGTAATAATGCTCCACAGCTCCACAAAGGAATTTAAATAATAATAACCATAACAATAAGATACAAACACACACGCACCGGGGGGCGGCAATGGCAAGGTCGACTTGGCCAGGTGGCAACTGGAAACTGGAAACGGGGAAACTGGCAACCTGCCGGAGTGAATTACGGTCCGTACGTGAGCCCCAAGCTAATAATGGGGATATATACCGATCTAAGATAACAGCAAATAATTGGAACAAGGGGAGCCAACACAAACACAATGCAACCCATCTTAACTGGATATTATTGCGTGTTTCCTGAAACTGTCATCCACACACATATCGGTGTGTGTGGATGTGTGTAATGTATGGTATTAATACCCCCGAAATTAAGGGTTTACTGCTCTGTTTTGGGGACTGACTAATTGAGAAAAATTGCATGTTGACAAATACATTTATTTGTTGAAAAATATTATTGCATTTTGGTGGTGCAATTTTAATAAAAAGTAATTATGTTTTTATATTTAATAAAAACTAACTAACTTCTTGAACACAATAAATTAATAATTGGACATCAAAGTTCCACATAATAAGGTTTTTTTTTTGAAAAGACTAAATTGATTTATTATTGATTCAATGTGAAAAAAAAATAATTTTACCGAGCTGGTCTATCAAGTGACAGGCCCTTTTAGTAAACAAATATTGCTGTCACTGTTTGTTTTTAATTAATAACATAATAATTAATTACTTTGATATACCTAAAATTAATTCTTTGAAATTAAAAAAATGGATTCACAATTAACCAGTCATTTAATTTTTATCAATTTTTGTTATGATCAAAATTAAATACAAATTTGAAATATTACATTTAAAATGTTTAAAAAAAATGTTGCTTAGTACTTAGAGATTTTATAATTAAAGTATAATATTTACTTGCCTAACGATATATAATATAGCTCATATTTCACTTCTTCCTTACTTACTAAAGCACTCCAAAGGTAAGCACCTAATTGTAGGTGTGCATATCTGGGAGCCTGACAACAAACCTCACGAAATGCTTTAATGCCCTGGGCTTAGCGATTTGAATCTGTTTGTGCGAAAAACAAAGGTGGCCAGGGAACTCTATTGTTCCCGCCGGCACTGAAGTGTCACCACGCTGGGCGATAATAAATCAGCCCCGGATAATGTCAACACCAAGGTCCCGCCGACCCCGAGTAAATATATCTGCTGATGACTTTCTTGGCCGCCCAAAACAATTTGATGGGTTTTTGATGCTACAAGGATTATCATTATTCGGGCCTCAAGTGGTGATGTGTCTTGGATTGAGTCTTTGACAAACGACAAACAGTTTTTGGCTTTTTGCGACTTTTGGCGAGCATCGATGACAAAGTGTTGACCCTGTCACACTGTTTGCTAATTAATTAGACGCCTTTTGTCCACAGCATCCAAGCTGTGTAGCGTCAAAAGTTTAATTAATGTTGGCCATGTGATTCGCCGGAAATTCCAAGCTTCAACCTTCAAACTTCGCACGGTTTTTTTTTCTCCGGAGAGCGAAAGTCGGAGACAATGGCAAACAATGCCAAACATCGGGCATTGTGATGCGGCGTAACAAGGAGCACTTGTTCTCCATTTAATACACAACTAAATTCCCCGGGCCCCACTTTATCCGCCGGAATGACAATAACGTGGGAGCCGGCGGCATCCTGACAGCTATCCACACCCGGGATCTGAACGTTGGTGCCAAGTGAACCCAGCTCCGGAAATATCGCTTCATTTCTAACTTTTTCCAGTCCCCCACTCTCTGTGAACTGAGAAAAAATGTGCTCAGAATATTCATTATTTAATGCTTTATCCTGGAGATAAAAATATCAAAGTAATAAGGACGGCAGTCGAAAATGAGTGATATACCGATCTTTTAAATTGTATAATTTTACTTTTCAGAAGTATTAGGGCGGAAAAATGAAATTTACACAACTAAAGCTGGAAAATGAAAAAATGGCATTAAATGTTGCGTTTAGTAGGAAAAATAATTACGGATTTTAAATTAGTAGAATAAACTTTCTAAATAAATCCTTAAAAAACATGAACAAGCTTTCAAAATATGCCTACAAAAAAGGTTATTCCAGGCACCTATAATTTTTTTTCGCAGTGCATGTGTATGTCTTTCTACACCAAAACACTCGCATAATTAGCTTTGAACGGCCCTCAATTACAGGACGCAGCAATCTCATCCCTTCACAGGATAGTTGACAACTGGATGGGCAGATGCCACAAACAGAAAGCAAACACTGCTCTGTAAACAAGGATAAAAGCAACGACTACAAAAAATACCAATCGAATATAAACTACTGACTTAACAAAAGCGTACATATATGAGGGAGTATTCAATACCCTTAAGAGAGAAATAAAAACTACTTATATCATGGTTAAATTTTACATTAATTCAAAGAAAAACTAATTTACTTCTGACTTAAAACATTAAACCAAGACACTTTTTGGCACATTTTTGTTGAAAATGTTATAGTAACTATGACTAATAATTCTCTTTGAATTTAACAAAAGTCAATAATACTGCAGTTTATTAAATTTAAATTTTAGAAAATATAGTAAAATCACGATAAAAAACACAATGCCCAATGACACTCGACTCGCATATTATTTTCCCATTGAATCGCAAAGAACAGCTGAAAACACACAAATAGACGAGTATAAATAGACAATATTTACAAATTGTGACATTCAATAACTTGGAAACATGCTGAACTGACACCTATAGCGACCCCGCAGGAGGGACGAAGGACGAAAAGGACAACAGATTGTGAAAACACACTTGGCGACGCCGCTAAGTATGCCACACGTTTTGTGGGCCGTATATTTTATATGCGGCTTCAGAAAATGTCTGGCGGCAAAAACCGTTTTAAACACACCAGAGGCGTGTCCATGGCAGCCATTTCGACTGCCTGTTTGGATAAGGTGCACTCGTAAAAATTACACAAATTTAATTAAATCATCTATAAATGCAGTGAAAAATGGAGCGTAGGCTTTCAAAATGAACACACCGAACTTTGGACTTAAAATATATGGGTGAACCTGTGATTTTATAATTTGAAAACTCATGTGATTTTCATTGTGTTTAGACAAGTATATCAAATTTTATCAGATTTTTTTTATGCATAACGTGTATTGTTGAAACTTCTAGGAATTTTAGGGTCATAAAATAAACTAAGTGTAGAAATGCACAACGTGTATTGTTGACACTTCTACGATTTATAGGCTCACAAAAATAAAATTAAATTAGATAAAATAAACTAAGTGTAGAACATGAAAAAATTTAAATAAAAATATGATCATAGATAAGCAGCTTTTCATTATATGCTTTAAAAAAAATGGCAAAACAATATTTTAGGCACCGAAAGTATTGTTGATTTTTCTCAGATAATGCTAGGAGTTAAACGAGCAGAAAACACTCCTAAAAAAATAGGTTAAGACAGAAAAATGGGCCAATAAGAGTCGTAAATGTAAAATAAGTTTAATTTCTTGTTTGGAATGCATTTTTTTGCAGTGCACCCATACCAAAAAGAGGGGACTCAGCGGGACGAGGAGTGGCATGCCGCACCGCATCTGTCGGTCATGCTCGACGACGATGGCGATGAAGTGACGAACACCGCCGTGGATTTTTTCCGTATTTGTGTTGTTGCTGTTGGGACTGCAAGTGTTCGACTTTTGACAAGGGACCGAAACCCGACAAAGGGCCCAGATTTGCGGCTGACATTGAAGGCAGGCCGCAGTGGTGGTATTGATTTTATGTAGAAACCGTTGCCAATGATAATTTACAATTTGTATGCGGTCTAGCAGAGGAACTCCAGCAAGTGGCCAAAACTGGGTAGATAGGTATCGGGCACCAGGTCCATCTTCTTTGGGTCGCCCTCCTCGATGATCTTCTGTACCTCCTTCAGGCTATTAACGCCACTGCCGACCATCAGGGACTGGAACTCACAGTTCGCCGCAAACCGAATATCCGTCTCGAGTCTAATTTAGGGGGTGTAATATTAGGTGGATTTTAAAAATATACTTTACAAAGAACAGGCTTCGATTAAAAAGGGTTTACTGAAAAAAGGCAATCTTTTCTAAGAAATGGTAATCACAATTTAAGATAAACAGCCTACAAAGAAAAGGTTTTGTAAGTAACATGTAACATTGGGATTGAAGGGTTTCACTCTTCCTATTCAAGATTTAATCTTTTAAAATAATTATTTATAAATATTTATAATAAACCTAGCCTATTCTTTAAGATTTAATCTCTTAAAATAATAATTATTTATAAATATTTATAATAAACCAAGCCTTTCCTTTAAGATTAAATCTTTTAAAATAATTATTTATAAATATTTATAATAAACCAAGCCTTTCCTTTCTTTTAAAATAATTATTTATAAATATTTATTATAAACCAAGCCTTTTCTTTAAGACTTCTTTGCTTCCCCTAATATTGACTCACGTGTCGCCCACCATCAACGTGGTCTCTGGTTTGATGACGCCGGCTTGCAAGAGTGGAGCTGCCATCCAGGGATTGGGTTTCCCCAGCACCAGTGGCTTCCTCCCAGTAAGGGCTTTCACCGCCGCCAAGGTGGCTGCGGCACCCACTATCACCCGATTATTGCCGATGGGATAGGCGGCATCCAGGCAGGTGCCCAGGAATATTATGCTGGGGTTCAGCAGATAAGTGCCGGCACGCACCACCTTGGCCATGTTGAAGCCCTCGTCCCGACCCACAACCACCGCCCCCACATCGGGATCCAGTTTCAGATCGGCCACAAACTCGTGGATGGGCCTTTCCAGTGTCTCGGACACTTTGGAGGAGCAAATGCCCAGTTGCTCCAGCTCATGGTGGATTCCGTACTCGCCCATGACAAACGCCTTCTTTTGGAACTTCTTTTCGGCCAGGAAATAGGCACACGAGTAGGACGAGGTCAAGACACAGTCCTCCTCGATCTGGATGCCAAATCCCTTAGCCTTTTTGACCATGTCCATCCTCGCAATCTCCGAGTTGTTCGACACAATGAAGGTCTTTCGCCCGGTGGCATTCAACTGATTGAAGGTATCCACCGCCCCCTCGATGTCCTTCGAAAAGTGCCACAGGACCCCGTCCGCATCGCAAATCACGGACTCGATGGACGACAGCCACTGGCGGACCCTTTGTTTCGGCAACTTGGTCAGGTCGGAGCAGGTTTGCTTGAACATAGCTAGAGAATATTGTGTTTCCAATCGGGAATGTTGACTAGAAAATAAGCGCAGCTTTGATCAAATAGAAATATATTTTACAGAAAATAATGCAGATTGTATAGAGTGGCATAAAACTTACCCCTGGTCTATCCAAATTAAATAGGGTGAGATATGAGACTTATGAAAAACAATGTATTCTAGTTTTAACATCAGAGTTTATTCATTAAACATAGGATACTACACTATAAGTTACACATTATCTATTTCGAGAAGACAGAAAGGGCAAGAGATTGGACAGTCTGGGCACATAGAGATCGGGAACTTGCTGATATAGTAATGGAACCTTAGATGCTTGAGCCTCGATGGCATCCTGATAGCTGTGTACCCCAGTTCCGACCAACAAAGTTTGAAAGCCGCAATTGTAGCCAAAAAGTATGTCCGTATACATGCTGTCAATAAAAAGCAGAAATAAATAAAAAAATATTGAACTAAAAATAAAAAATGTCCTGAAAACTAAAATAATTTTTCCGGCTCGAGATCAACAATTGAACAATTTTTAAACAAAACCAAGTAGCGAATATTATTTAAGTAACAAATCTTAAAGAAAGTTGACACGATACCTTTAATTATTTGTAATATGAATTATTTGTATCATATGGCTGATTATTCCAAACATAATTAAGTCAATTACAAAATAATATTAAAATAAAATTAAATATTTAATATAAATGCACTCACGTATCTCCAATGATCAAGGTCCTCTCCGGTTGAATAACTCCCTGGCGCATCAGATCGATGCACATATAGGGATTGGGCTTTCCGCAGGTGAAGGGCATCCTTTGACTGGCCGCCTGAATGGCTGAGACCATAACTCCGGCTCGGGGAACCAATCGGCCAGGAGCCGCCGGAATGGCCATATCGCGATTCGTGGCCACAAACATCACATCGGGATCCTTGAGATAGCAACAGGCCTTGGTCAACTTGATCATATTGAAGTCCTTATCATTTCCCACTACGACAGCACCTACATGGGGATCCAAAAAGATGGTGGGGACGTGTTCCATCATCGAGAAGCCCTGCAACGAGGGATGATCCAAGGGCAGGGATTCGATGCCCACCAGTTTCAGTTCATCGATGATTCCCTGACCCCCCACCACATACACTTTCTTTTTGAATTTCTTCTCCTTCATAAAGCGAGCTAAGGTCTGGCCCGAGGATAGTATCTCATTTTTGGCCACCAAAAAACCCATTTCCTGGGCCTTCCTGCAGATTCCCGCCACCGAAAGCGCTGAGTTATTGCTGCAGATATAGGCCTCTTTTCCCATGGCTCGAAGGGCGTTGAACGTTTCCGGTGCTTTGTCAAGTACCTCGTCGTGCTTCCACAGGACACCATCGCCATCGTAAATGATCGTATCGATGGTCTTCAGCCACTGCTGTATACTGTACTTGTTGAGGCCCAAAACCTGACAGCCGCCCTTCTGGACACTCCTATTTAGAGCCAAATTCATGTTTTGTTCGGGTGGAGTTTTATTTTGGGAAATATTGAATTAAATTGATTATTTTAAGCAGGCAATCTATGAGAAATTACAGGCAAAAAAAATAAATCGAACTATGCTTTAATAAATTACAATTAAATGGGATGCTCATATTTTAAATTATTTTTTTAAGGTGATAAAATCTTTCAACAAGTACATCCCAGTAAACTTTAGTGGCTTTAAATTTGTTTTATAGTAACCTTCTCAAAGAACAATAATTTGGAGATGTTTTTAAGATATGATGAGCTTTTCTGGAAATGAAAACATAAGCCCTTGGACCTTCAACTATCGCCCTATAAATACGTTCTCGGAATCGCAACTACATTAGTTTTCAGCAGTTTTGGATGCGCGACTGTCTGAATCAATTGAAAGTTTTTCCCGGGTGACTGGGAAAACTCAGTGTCGGCTTTTCAGCTGTCGGCGACGAATCCCCGAGAAAATTTCATCGGCGACGCATTTAATTCACTAAACTTTGCACATTTGTTATTTGGAAAGTGAGGGAACGGATCGCAAAAGGACCAAGTTGTTTGGATTTGTGGCGTGGCAAACGTCGCGGACAACTTTTAATTGTGCGCAATGAGCGAAGGCCAAGTCAAGCGGTGAATTCTGGGGCAGTTCCTTGGGGTTTTTGGGTGGGTGTTGGGGGGGCGTGACCACCCACTGGTCCCACCCCACTTTTCCGGTCCTTCCTCCCAAGGGAGCCACTTCAGCTGGTGGCGACAAATTGCCGCCTCGCCATCCAGACACAATAATAAAATTATTTGTTATAGAAACAGACTAGAATTAAATTAACTTGTTCTTTTCAATATTTTAAAATGAACAATGTAATCAGCTTTATACAAAGTCAAAAATATTAAATATATTTAAATATATAAATAAATCAAATATTAAAGATGAAACCTTTTTTACAAATAATATTTGTATTAAATATTTTAAACAATAGTCTGGTTAAGCAAAAATTTTCTTTAAAGATCAAAATTAAATATTCTTACCGACAAAATGTCCAGCAAGTATAACTAAAAAGGTATTATTCTTTTAAGCTTAACTAGGTTTTGGTAAGATAAAAATCTTAAACATGTCACAAATCTTATTAGTTAACTGCAGTTGCATGAAGTTGGTTTTTAAAAAAGTAAGTTAAGTATGCTAAATATTTTTTTAAGTGCACGCCACCGACTGACAGCTGGGCTGTCCCGTTGCGCCAATTAAAATGGCATTCGGCCTTATTGTTGATAACGCTGTCGCCTTCGAGGAGCGCCTTTCGAGGAGCGCCCAAATCCGACACTTGTCCGGCTGAAAAGCTAAGGCCGGAGCCAGAATCCCGGATTACGCCGCACCTTGACATAAATTCATTAAATCTGTTTTCCCTCCGGCGATTTTGCCGCGGGACTGTGAGCATTTAACGGATTTCTCTAGCTCTTTGGACGGTCCGTGTTGAATGGCCCTCGGTCAAAAGTGTGGGGAGCCCCCCTTTCCATTTCCACCGGACTTTAAAAAAGCAACGCAAATTGGCAAACGAGCTGAATTTGTGGCGGAATTTATGGCTAAGCTGCCGGAGGGGTAAATCAAAAGCTAACGAGCGAGTTTTGCGCTTTCCACCCGACCAACAAACGCGATTTTTCAAATTTCCGCTGGCAAATAAGGAAGTGTTTACCCGATGCCACATGGGAAAAATTTTGTGGGATTAATTAGCATGCGAAAGCAAATAGAAAGGATTTCCCTTAAATTAAATAGAATCTTGTTTTTAGAAGAAATAAAATTGTTTAATTCTGAAGTGTGCTGAAAAGATTATAAATAGCAAGAAAATGTATATTTTCCTTCAACAAAGTCAATTTAGAAACTGGAGCTTTATTTTTATTTTTAATTCTTAGGGGTATATTTGTAGACCTTACCTTAAGAATATATTTTTTAAGTCAAGAATATTTTAGTTATATAATTATATTGCAGAATTGGAAAGTTGGGAAGTAAAAGTTACTAATTAAAGTTCGCTTTGAAACACAAGTCGCCTGTCTGCTCGAATTGTTTTTACAAAAATGTTTTTGTTTTGCTGTTTTACCTGAGCAGAGTTTTGGGTAAATGGGCAGCTGTACACGAAGCCTACTCAATTTGCTCAAGTGGAAAGCGCTTCAGATTTTTCCATTTGCCTAGATCCCAATTTATTCGGGTATCGGACTTAAATGTACATTGATAGATGGTTGGGAATCCAAACAGAATGCATTTTCCGAACCAAAGGGAGAAGGAAAAAGAAGCGAATTCCAAACGCCAGACATCGAGAGCAACAGTAACAAATGAAATTTTAAGCACAAAGTTTGGTGAACTTTTTCTTCGGTATTTTTCCAACCCCAAACCCAGAGCGCAGAAAAAGAAAACGAACCGAGACCAAAACTTTTTTATTAAGTTTACAAGGCCAAGTTAATTTCCCGGACCCTGGGGCCTTTGCTGTTTTCCCTAATTAATACCTCGAGACGGGCAGCCCCGAAGTATAGAATGAGATCAAATCCACTTGATTTATATGCTAATCAAGCTTGACCTGTGGGCACAACTAACACTTCGGGCCATCGACAGTTGTTTAAATCAAATTAAAGCCAAAAACCACTGACAGCAGGCAAGGGGCAACTTTAAATCGTCCGCTATCACCGAATAAATCATCCACAGATAGCATCATCAGCTGGGTCACAAGGCGCAATTATTTGTCCAGAATGGATTGCTCTTTGCAGGAATAGCTGCCACTTTCCTCAGCCTCTGGTGTTTTTCGATTTCCGAGGAAAACTCGAGGCCATTTCACCCTGGCGAAAAATCATTAAAATTCTTTAAAGAAGTACTGAGTTTAAATTATATAGGAAAATGAACGCAATACAAATTAAATGGTACATTTTTGTGAAATTTCTGTTTGCAGATTTATTAGAATTAACTCTTTTTTCGTAAAACATTTACTGACTTCATTAATTGGATACAACATGTTTATTTATGTTTGAAAAGGCACATATATTAGTAGTTCCAGCATATATTTGTACTAAAAGCTAAATATTTTCCATTTACAAATAGTGTATAATAAAAATGTTGTATTGCCAGAAGTTCATTCTAAATTTGCTAATGACCTCTTACATATTTTTTCCGATCCATATACCCTCAATAGCTCTCGAACTCGATCCCAGTCTAATCTCTTTTGAGTGTTGAGTGATGGACAGGCTTAAAAACAACAAGCATCGTCTGGAAGGCTTTCTGTTGCATTTCACCAGCTTAGGAATACAAGTAGAATTGAAACGTTTTGCTGTTTCACAAATAAGGAACTAGAACCAGAAGGAATGAGAATCATAAATAAGAGACACGTTCATTGCTATGGAGATTTCCATAAATGCTACGGCAATTATTCGCTTGCGAGTCCAACTGCTCAGAACAGATTGAAAAAATAGAATGAGTAAATGGAATCTGCAACGCAATGGAAAAAACGGAAACACGTGTCTGTTGCAGTGCAAAAATACTGCAGAGATGAGGATACTTCAGCATGTCCTTCATTGCTCTGCATCCTTAAAATGCGACAAGTGAATCGAACGTCCCCTCAAAAATCTATAGCCCTTTATTAATAGAGAAGATTTTGTTGAATGTTCCTTCATTAAATGGATTATTTTCCTAATTAATAACATTATTGCCCTCCATTTTCAGATAAATTGGCAAATATAATATATATTAAATACATTTAATTGGACTTTTGACTGTAATTACATTACATTGCTTAATTCATTTTAAGGTTTTTATTTTATTAACTTTGCAGAATGCATTTTGCACCACCTTGAATGCGTTATTAATTGTATTAACTGCAAATACATAGCCAACTAAATGGCAATCAGTGCACCTTGTTCGATTGCATTCAATTGCAAATACCAAGCCAGTGGCTTAAAGTGAGGGTCAGTCCTCTGTTTGGCCCTGGCCCACACTGCGTATGAGCAATGCCACAGTTAAAGTCTTCAGGCGACAATAAAGGACTTTGGTTAGGTTTCACAGTGCGTGCATTAAACCAAATTACAGCACATTATAATTTGTATCAAAAGTGTCCCCGAAAATTCATTTGTGAGATCCAAGATTTGACAGTTGGCAAATTTGAAAATGCAAGAGTATATATTTTTGTGTACTGCAAAAAGCAAATTGAGCCCAAGGCTAAAATATTTGTCAGATAAATAAATAAACTGTGGGAAGACTGTGAGTCTGTGTGCAAGGCTATCGAATTTGCAGGACTTGATGTTTGTTCACATCTTAATTTAATCCTGGTCAGCAAAAGTGTCTGCCATGCAATAAGATTAGACAAAACAAAATAAATTTAAAGTGTCCTAGATCTAATAAATGCTTAATTGCTAACATTTCTATTTACGTGAGGATGTATTGTATTTAAGCTGTTTAATTTTTGAAATTATCTAAATTTCTGATGGAAAAAAACACTTTAGTAAAGAATTTATAATGCCTTATAATTCGTATTATTTATTATTTGTTGAAAATTCTTTAAGGCCACAATCAAAATGATGTAAATTTTTTAAAATCCAACGAAAAACTATGTGGGTTTTCCTCAAACATTTTGTATAGGCATTTTTTCGCACTACTCGTTGGCCTGTATATTTCCAATTACTGCCTGCAATATGTGCCACAACCCATTGGCTTTCCACAAAAATGAAAGGACCAACTCGAGACTGAAATACTGCCATGATGCCTCCTAATTGCTCTCGGTTTTTGTGCATCTGTAAAACCCTGATTCTGTGAATATGCGATATCTATGCATGCGGCTGGTTTCAGTCGCAAGTTAAATATTTTCCCACTGTCGATTCACGGCTCAACGCTTAAAATAAATAGTCGCACATATTTCAGGCATAATTAAAGCTGCGGCTTCCGCAACACGCGACGTCAATCATTGTAATTTATAACGTAAGCGGAAGCGTAACCAAACTTATGCCATTATTTCCGCTTTATGGAATGAATGCCACCGGCTGTGCTTTTGTTTTTCCATTTCACCAACACGTTTTTCACTATTTGCACTTACTTTAGCGTTTGTGTTTGTTTTCGCTTTCATTCCGTTTTTGTTGCACATTTGCATTTCGTGTCCCGCTGACCCCTGACCCCTGTAAACCAGCTGCCGCCGCAAACTGCTGCCCATTTCATAAATCATTTGGCACACACGAACACATGTGTAAAGGGACACACAGAAATACACTACGAAATGATTTTCCATTTTTTAAGATATTTTATTTCAATTTGAAACATAAGTATACGTTTTTTTTTAAGATATTTCTATAACATTTTTATGACTTAGAATTTTTTTAGTAGCATTGTACAAAAAGCTAATACTTTTATATGTGCTTATTTATGTTTTAAATCATTCATTTTTCTGCGTGTATTTCGAGTCGAGTTTCAGACTGCCACGCATTGATTTACAGGCGTAGAAAATGCTTCACTTACAGCTCTTACCCGAAACTTACATATGCGCTTACATTTCCCAAAAGAGGGAATATTTATTTTCAATTTATTATGTAACCGTCAGAAATTGAATCCCATCAATATACAAATTAACCATTTATACTTTAATGGCAATAAGCTGATTGAAATCAATACGCCCAAAAAAGTATGCTACATAAACCGTTGTTTGTAAGATAAACATTTAAACTCGTCTGCATTAAATTCCTTAGATTTTCAAAAACCGAGATGTAAAATGATTATTTATTTATGTGCAGCATTTAGAGGGCCATTTAACATCACTTTCAGTTATATTCTTAAAAGCAGCAATCAATTTGGTTTATGCCCACTTGGAGTTCCTCAGAGTTTTATGCAAAAATGTAAGTCATTTTCTTAGGCGCTTTTTATTGTTTTGTGGGCATGAAATAATTTTATTGGTGTATTAAAATTACCCACAAAAAATTTGCTTAAATTGAAGACCGCAAAAATATGTTAATTTGCTTATGAGACTTTTTTTGGTCGATTTTTTATTTTTAGCTGGTAGTTGCATTAATTTGGAGACTTTTAATGGTAAATGTATTCCAAAATTGTAGAATTGACAGAATCTTGAAAGGGAGTCCTTCATAAAACAACAAAATTTTTGCATAATTTAAATGGAAATACCAAGAACAAAATTATTTTTATTTTATTAATTTCAGTATACCATAGTCGACTTTAAGAGCAATATTTCCGCAAGCTACGGCAATAAATGCTTAGCCCATGGCAACAAAACAAAAACCCAAACCAGACAAGAAGTATGAGTCCTGCCAAAGTGCCACGCCCACTGCCACGCCGGGGGCTTTCTAATCAGCGGGCACTTGCTGACCCAAATTTTTGGCTAGGAACGACTTAACGGAAGCCAGGCCAACTATAGATGACAATTTAATAAAGCAAATTGAGCGGCTTGTGGCAACAGTTCCATTGGCATTGGGCTTAATCCATTCCACATCCTATATCCGCAGCCCTTCAGAGTCGTTAATCAATTAGGTTGCCGCTTTTATACGATTGCTTTGCTGGCATGTGGATACGCGATTATATATATGTATGCTGCCACTTAAGCGCTGTTATGTATTGATTCAATTCCATATAAACGATGCCCCGCCACGAGCAAATATAATTAATGATCAAGTGTCAACAAAACAGAAAAACTTTAGTCATCTCGAATGCATTATATAAGGCGGCGTATTGAATTTCATTTAGCACGCGTAGTCAACTTGGCCAACTCGGGCCCACATGGCGGGTACTTGACCGGATAAAGTTGTCCGGCCAACATTTATTTGCTGCCATTTGTTACGTTTGCTTTTCCTGGCGGGGGATCCTTGATGTCAAACTACCAAGTCTGACCATTGTGTACTTAAAGTTTACCAGGAATTCTTAAAATAGATACTTCGAATTCATTAATCAAGCTAAGCTCTAAACAAAAATGTCATTAAATTATATACCAACAATAATAGACAACATTTTAGGGGGTTGCTGAAAATTATGATTTTATTTCCCAAAAAATAATTGAATTTAATTTAAAAATAATTTTTTCTTACAGAAAAAATAAAACGCAATTTGGCACACTTACATTTTAAATTATAATTTAATAATTAATAAATTTAATTTTGTATATTTTTTATAAATTTAGTTGCGTTCATTTTTTAAGAGAATTCATTGGGAAAAGCACCACACCATTGCTAAATGGTTTCAAATCTTACCCTTTTTCATTTTAAGCCCCAAGACTAAACAATTTGCCACAATTGTACACTGCGATGCTTTCTGCACTCTATAAATTTATAGCAGTAGTCGCCGCCCCTGCAGCCATCGCATTATAAATATTTACGAGTGGTCCGCTTGGGAGGATTCCATGGAGGATACGCACATCTTGGCTTTTTTGCCCGGCGACGGAGCATCTGAGAGCCAAATGGACAGGGTCCACTCCCGCAGGACACGCGCCATCAGCTCATTGGCCGATCATTTTTCTTCCCGGCGGACAGAGGGACGCAGTGCAGCCGGAGGCACATTAATGATGTCTTTATGGCGGCCACATGGGCGTTGGGAAATTCCTCGGTGGTACTGGCTTACCCACACAATTTACGAGCGCAGTGCATCCATCTAGTAATTAAAAAACTGAAAACACTTTGAATGCTGATTTATGTCGATGCAACGTTGCAGTGCTGAAATTTTAGTTTGGCTCTTAAAAGGCAAATTGGAAGGTCTTTTTTGTGTAGGAGTTTCATGGGCACTAAAAATAAACTGGTATATAACATAACACATTATTCCAAACACCAGAACTTTTAAGTAATTGTGTGTTAAAAATTTTAACATCTTTTTGTGGCCGAATTTGAATTAGTTTTAAGCATATACTAAAAACTGTACCTCTATTTAGAAAACTTTATTATAAGCAACTTAAAAACATAAGCTTAAATTGTGATATATTTTCTAATTACTTTGCCATTGTGAGGCAGAAAATTTGAATACATTTTAATCAATGCCTTAAATAGGATAAATAACATGAGAAACCCAACTGAAAAGCAACTGAATGTTTATATTCAGGGACTATTTATTGAACCCTTAAAATGTTCTACAGTACTCTTTAAATTCCTGAATCGTATGGTTTTATTTTTTAGGAGTGCTCTTTAAATGCTCTCGTTTCACATACGCATTACTTATTTGCCTGCCAATTTGTCAACTGTTTTACGACTGACTTGATCTGCGACGTGCCAATGGAAACTTGTACGTATTTTCCGAGAGAAATCGGAGTTAGACGTGCCCATTCCCCCTCTCTCCCCCCTCGAATACTCGTCTATATAAATACTGTGAGGGCATTACAAGCCGTACATTGTTGCAACTTCAGGATGCGGAGAAAACTTCGTTAAGCTTCTCCTTCGTCGACAAACTCCCAATGCACATGACACTCCAACTAATTGAGCCATAAATAAGAGCGAGGCTTTATTTCAGGGTTCTAAAAGTGTGTTTAACATGGAGGATCCGGCTGGGCCTCGACCACAAAGTTGTAGATGCCATCCTCCGTTTGCAGCGGAGCCTGTTGGGTGATTTGAAAGCGTTCCGTCTTTTGGGTGGCCTTGAACATGGCCACCACCTGCTGACGCAGTGGATCCAGAGAGTCCAGGGCCTCCTTGAATTGGAGGCCCAGCGATGGCGGCATATTGGCCACCATGTGGGATATCAGGTCGGCTAGCACCACCTCCATGTCGGAGCTGTTCTCACGGCCCAACTTCCCGTTGAGATACAGTATGGTGTGGAGGTTGCAGACGAACTCCCTGGTGCGATCCGATTCTATCTTCAGGGATTTCTCACTCCCGGCCAGCTTGAGATCCAGTTCCGCCTGCTGGCGACACTTTTGGTAGACCTCGCTTGCGGGTCGACCGCCCTTGGCCTCCTGCTCATCCTCCTGCTTTTGATACTCGGCCAGGTGATCGTGGAGGATGTGCACCGGAGTCATGACATCGGCGTTCACCCGGTGCAGGGTTATCATGCTGGCCGCATAGCGACGCTGGAGATTCTCCCGTTTGGGACTGATCTTGGCATCACGACGACTGGCCGAAAGAGCCGACTCCCTGCCACACTCGAAGTCCTCGTTCATTTGGGCTAAGTCCAACAGGGCTCTCTCCTTGACATCCATCATCTTCCTGATCAGCAGCACGGCTTCCAAGAGGTCCTTGTTGTACCGCTTATTGCCGTACTTCTCTTGCGAGGCACTTTCCGGTTTGGTCGGAGTCGACTTGGTGCCGTGCATCATAATCGATAGTGGCAGGGCCGTGGAATCCTGCTCGGAATAGAGTCGCGAGTCCTGGAGACTAAAAACCGCCGACTTGCCATTCTTGATGAATCGAACGAGATAGGTGCTGTCCTGCGGATCGTAGTCCATGACACAGCCGTCGATGATGCCCTTGTGGGAGTGTCCCTGCAGGAAGCTGGTGACCTTGGCATCCGTGGCCAGTGGCAAGGGGATCCGCTTGGGGATCTGGTCCAAGTAGGGACCGTCTTCCTGGGCATCGAAACGATACTGCTGCAACTCACGGACAATTCGTCGGGTGCGCTCCAGTTCCGAACGCTCTAGTTCGATGAAGGAGGGGGAAAATCGACGGGCCTTTCCCATATTTCGGCGCAGTAACTGCCATCCTCTGCGGGGCAAACAGCGGGTTCCCAACAACGGACAGCACTCGCTGATGAAGCGCTCCATGTCGTAGGCTCCAGCCAGGATGGGCTTGTCCACGAAGGACTCCACGAACTCGCACCAAATCCAGCGATGCGAGGTCAGTTGGCTCAGGAAGTTGTACAACCTATAGGGGATTATGGAAAAGGAGTTGAATCCTATTAAAATCTAGCAAAAAATTTATTAACATTCTTTCATAAAAATATATATAAGCCATATATTTGTGTATGTTGAAAATTATGTTACCATTTTATGCTTTTAATATAAATATTGAATATATATTCAAGGTAAGCTGAAAGTATCTTTATAACCAAAAGTTTTATATTCATGGTAACGAAAATTTGGTTTTCAATAAACTTAAATTTGTGTCATAAAATTATACCTATATTTATATTCTAACTATACGAACCTCTGACCGGGAATAGAGGATGTTCTAAAATAGTCGGCCTCCTCCTTTTCTTCCTCTTCTTCAGAGTCCTCCGAAGATTCGGCATTATTTTTGGAGGACTCTTCCATTCCAATCTTCCTTTGATTTAATGATACCTTTGCAATCCTGTTCAGCTTACTAAAATCGGGACGCTTCACAAATAACTCATCATCTCCAAAGTCCGACACTTTTTTTGGTTTTTTCAGCTGACGTTGGCGAATCTCCGTCATTCTGCAAACCAAACCTTATTAATAATTATAATATTCAAATTATGTGGATATATCCTTTTGAATGGAAAACTTTATAAAATCATAATATAATCAAATGTATCTTACGTTGTTGTGGCCAGCAGTCCAATATTTGCCAAGAATTCGTTTTCTTCACCGTTTTTAGCTTGTTTTGTTGAATTTTTTTTCGTTTTTGGGTCAATTGACATTTTGTAATAGTCTACTGAGGTTATTATCACCTTTTAAGTGCCTTTTTGGGTGCAATAATTTTTTAGGAGAATTTACAGAATTATTAAAGTAATTGACATTTTACTTTTGGTCTTAAGTGTTGGGTTCTAAACGTATTTTAATATGTATTTTGTAAGGTCACATTTAAGTTAGTGTTGTTTAAGACATTATATTAAAACAAATATTTACTTTAAATGCTCTTCATTATTAACTATTTTTTGCATAATTAGTATGTAAATTGGCAATAATGCAGAACAAGTTTGCTTCATTTCCATTTTAAAAAATACCACCGAAACTTTCTTCGTATTTCCTAGTAATGCAAAATTAAATGAATTCGAATTAATTTGACTACTCAGACACCTACATATAAAAAAAAAGTACACAAAGAAACAAAAAATATTATATTATTTGTTGAAAAAAGGAAACTTAAATCGTTCAGAGCTTTCAATTCAAGTATGCAATATTATACCATAAACAAAAACCTACAAGTGGATTAAGTGCTTGTGCTGTGTTTTTGTTATAAAAATCGTTATGCATTTTATTGGCTATTTTCGTTGGCAAAGCAAACATTGTTTTCCTTGTTTTATTCATTGATTTGATTCGTGTTACTGCCACGTGCTGAAGCTGTTGATTTTTCGAATGAAATGCGTTGAATTTTTAATTTGAAAAACTTTTGTTTGATTTTGGCTGCTGGTTCAAATTGCACAACATGACAATGGGTGGGCTAAACTCGATTCGGGGAAAATAGTAAACAGCCAAAGTTTCGCAGTACTTGCACAAGAAATCCTTGGTGGATGGTCGACACTGGTCATTGGGGCGCGTAATTAATAAAGTTTGCATACGACTGTTGCCCTGGCGAAAAACAAATTTCGAATTACGTAAGTGCCACAGCATTATTGGCTGCCAACGAAATCCGCACTTTTAGCCTAATTTCTATGTTTGTGATGTGGTAAGTACTCCTAATTTCGAGTATGCACCTAAAAAAATATACTAAAATACATTTACGCCTACATTTTATATAATAGATATTGTTAAAACAGTCAAGTCTTTAAATAATTTAACTTTAAATTTATTTATTTATCCCTTAGGTAATCAAGTTTACTCTTTCTGATGACATTTTGTGATTGTAATTTTATTAAATTAAATAAACAGGTTACTCTCGGTATACAAAAAGATCTGATTTTAAAGAAATATAAAAATTTTGTTATTTTTATATGCTGAATTTGAATAAAACTTATTACGCGTGATTGTAATTTTATTAAATTAAATAAACAGGTTACTCTCGATATACAAAAAGATTTGATTTTAAAGAAATATAAAAATGTTGTTATTTTGTATGCTCTATTTGGATAAAACTTCTTACATGCTTCCTACGAAATTGTGACATATGCTCTTATTTTTTCTTAGTGCCTCCAAACCACTGGCACGTGTTGCGGTTGGTTTCAGGGAAAAAGGAAATTGGATATCCAGACTTGAAGGAACTTAAAGATTTCTCCTGCCATCCGGATATCGATTGCTTTCCTCACCTCATTCAATTTGCTGTTCACACAGAACATCCGGACAACCTGATGGCTAAGAGATACCAAGGAGAGATACAAATTTTAATTTGCATTCCTTTTGCAACGCAGGAGCAGCGGGAAGTCCTAATGCGGGACGCCTGCAGCTCGTACTCATTTAATCACTAGACAGACAAAGGTGAAACAGGTGGAAATGAAGGGAGCAGGAGGCCATCAACATGCGCTTAAAATTAAAAAAAACAAGAAACGAAAGCTAACTTCGGGCGGAGCCGAAGTTGATATACCCTTGCAGAATACTCTGTAAAATTATTCATATGATGCATTCTTAATACTCATAAAAAATCCCAACTTCCTAACTTTAAAAACACCAAAGTTATGGCATTTCCAATCGTTCAGTTATATGGCAGCTATAGGATATAGTCGGCCGATCCTTATGAAATTTGGTAGGTCGGATTGGCTGGCCAAATATAACACCCATAGAAAATCCCAACTTCCTAACTTTACAAACACCAAAGTTATGGCATTTCCGATCAATCAGTTATATGGCAGCTATAGGATATAGTCGGCCGATCCTTATGAAAATTGGTATATCGGATTGATTGGCCAAATATAAAACCCATAGAAAATCCCAACTTCCTAACTTGACAAACACCAAAGTTATGGCATTTCCGATCAATCAGTTATATGGCAGCTATAGGATATAGCCGGCCGATCCCGGCCGTTCCGACTTATATAGTGCGTGCAAAGGAAAGAAGGGTGTGTGCAAAGTTTGAATTCGATATCTTTAAAACTGAGAGACTAGTTCGCGTAGAAACAGACAGACGGACAGACGGACAGACGGACAGACAGACGGACAGACGGACAGACGGACAGACGGACAGACGGACAGACGGACATGGCTATATCAACTCAGGAGGTGATCCTGATCAAGAATATATATACTTTATAGGGTCGGAGATGTCTCCTTCACTGCGTTGCACACTTTTGACCAAAATTATAATACCCTCTGCAAGGGTATAAAAACCAAACCAGACTACACACATGTAGTGTCGCCAGTTTTCCAGTTCCAGGATCGCACAACAAAACATTGACATTGAACTAATGAAAGCTGCAGGCGCCCTGCCACGCCCACCTTCCGCCCACCCAAGAGATTTAAGCCAGCAGAATGGGCGATGATATGTCGTGCCAACGGGTTATTCATGTGCATGACTATATACATATACGTAATCTCGTGCGGCGAATGTTGGCTTTTGGTTTAACTCGCTTTCAGCCTGCGGGACATTTTTGCACTTGGCCAAAAAACAACTGTCTTTTGTTCTGGCTTTAATGTTTAGCAGCGCCAAAAGCTTGGTATACTAAAAAACAACAGGTTAATGAAATTATCCTAAAAGCAGAGTTCAAAATGCAAGCTCTTTAAACATAAGGTGCAGAAATAGAAAAGATCAGCACGCTTAATTTATTGCTTTAGAAAACACTAGTGGAATTTAATATAGGGTTCTATAAAACTATTATTGATTTATTAGTCATAACTTACTGGAACTACTTATAAGATTCCAGTTTTTTATGACTAATAAATCAATAATAGTTTCGTAGAACCCTATATTAAATTCCACTAGTGTTTTATATAATAGCATTACTACAAAACTTAATAGTGTTGCATAACTAGAAAAATCTTTAAAGAACTAAAATCAATTTTTTAAAAAGTCCAACACTATTATTCTAAATTACTTAAAAATAATAATTCTCTTTTGGAAAGCCAATAAATAAATGACAAGAGTAGAAGTTTTAGGCCTCTACTATTTTTTATATCATTTCTATAGATTTCATTTAATTTTTAGAATTATAAGTTTCTATATATTGCTCTTTTCTATGTTTGTATAACAAATCAAGTCCAGTGTAAGATAGTTCCAAGAGCTCCTCGAACTTAACTTCTTGTTCTGACAGCTTTGGCTTCTTCCTCAACTATACGAAGGAATCTGCCAGCACCCCCGCCTTATACTTATGGCTTTTACTGTGCATTTACAGTTTATGACAGTTTGGGGACAGTAAAATTGAAGCAGTTTGTATCGCCAGCTTTCAGTGGCCACATGGAGCGAAGCTGGCTTATCGCCACACGCCACTTTCATGGCCATGAAACATATTAATTGATTTGAGAGTTGGTCTTTAAAGCGGGATTTTAGAACGGACATAACAAAGCCACTTGGGAGTCTGCGAAAGTCATTGACTTTCCTTGGCAAGTCACGTACCAGCCCAAAAAAAGCAGACTTGCAAAAAGGAAATATATTCCCGGCGACAAAGCTCCTATATATATATTTTTTCTTTCCATAGACTCACACATTTGTCGCATTAATTGAAAGCGCGAGAGTGACAGGCGAAAACTTTTTGCGGCCTGGACAAATTTTCGGTTTTTATTGGTGATTTTATCAAAACTCATTTGACAAGAAGGGCGCTTTCAACCGTTATCATAAGGCCACAAAAAAGGGTCCGAATTTGGCCCTTGAAAATGCCAATAATAATTATAAATATATGCGAGTGCTACCCACATCAAAGTGAATCTACATTTGAACCTGAGGGAAATGTATAACGAACCGCAATAAAACCCCAAAAAATTGGGTGAATAAAGACAAAAATGAATACCATTGACGCATAAAATATCACCTTTGAGGTTTTGCCATTGAAACAGTGAAAAACAAATGTATATGGCTTTAACCAGTTCAGTTTCCATTAAATTAAAACTGCTTGCCAACGAGTTTTGCAATTTAATATTTACGTGTTTCGCTGAATTACCCTTTAAGAAAATTAAATCTCTGATTTTTCAGCGAGTTAACTTGAAGCTGAGCTCTTCCCCCACCAAATGACAGCGATTTCGAACAACGAAACTCCTCGGGTTTTCGATTTCAATTACTATCGCTTTTATTTCAATTCATGTTCAATTTTTCCAGTTATTTTACAGCCATTGTCTGCTTCAAGGCGCCTCTGACTTGGACTTCTTCCCGTGCTCCTGCTGCTGACATTGGCTTTTTATCGCAGTTTTCTTTTGGTTCGCCGGCCCGTAAAATGCTCATGTGATTGCATTGTCTCCAGAATGCACAGAAAACAATTTTAGATAATTATTTTGTTATAAAATCAATTGGGTTTTGAAGTAATACACTATCTTTATCTCACAAGTCAACGCTTTGCTGTTCCCATTATAAATATTTATGTATGCATTATTTAAATATAAGATTAAAGTTTACTAAAAGACATGTTTATAAATATTCTAAAAAATTTTAAATGTGCATTCCTTTATAAGTATAACCTAATCAACATTACTACTTATAATCATATTTTTGTATCCATAAATAAATAACCAAATTATCAACAAAAAATTCAAATTATTAAACAATTTAATAAATCCCTAACTTAACGATTGTAAGAAAAAGTATACAAATAAATTTGATAACATTTTTAAATCCAAAAGGGTATTACCCAATGTTAATTGCTAGTTTTTTTTCCGTGTAGCATCGAAATGGC